AAATAAAGACTAAATTCTCAATCAACTTTGGAAAATGAAAATAAATTATTTGTTTTAGATATGATTTTAATAAAATATATAGTAAGGTGAATAAAACGAAATCACGATAATAATTATGTGACTAAATACATATTTTATCTAAATTTATAATAAAAATATTTCTAAACCATTTTGAGATATAATTTGACTGAACATGTATTTTTTAAATTAATATTCGTGTTATTAAAACTACATTAATTTTGTTTACCAAAAACTCAATAAAAAACACTTGACATTTAAATTTTCTTTTATATTTTCGTTATCGGTTGGCTTTGATTTTTGACTTTGATTTTTAAAACTCATTTTCTGAGAATACCAACGATAACCTAATTTAAGAATAAAGAATAAGCGTAACCGAAAATATTATAAAACATAATATTTTTGGTTGGGTGTAACCTAAATTATTATTATTATTTCTTAATATTTTTAGGTTGTACACCTTCTTCATAACATTTTCAATTGGCAACCGAAAATGTTACATTCATTATAACATTTTCGGTTCAACCTAACATTTTAGGTTGAACTCAACAGAAAATGTTTTGTTTTTATAATATTTTTGGTTGCTTCCATTCCTTGTTGTTTCTTAGCCTTACATTGTTGTACAGTAGAACTTGTAACACCCCCAACCCGTACCCGACCCGAATACGAGTTCGATGTGTCACATTGACCGTTCAAAACGTTTACTTTGACAAAATCCAATAAAATCCAAATAATTTCTATTGTATAAAACGTATAGTTTTACGAATTGATCAGAACGTTTCCAGTACAAATCTTTTATCTTACATGCCAACTTCATTTCATATGAAAAAATACATAATTTAAACCTATTTCTGATCTGAATTGTAGAAAGGAGAATCTGACATGTCTTGCTCCACATTGCTCTTTACTCTTCTCACTTCGGTAACCTACGTGTGAAACAATCACACGCTAAGTCTATGACTTAGCGAGGCATTAAACACATTAAAGTAACTCTAACTACTTAATCATGCATGAACATATCATATCATATCATGCTATCACACAAAACAATATAGCATTTCATGTAATCAAATGTACACATATACACATCATTCATCCTTTCCATCATTAACCCTATTCTATTATCCATACTATTATCATTTATATCCTTTAATCATACCTTTTTTATCAACATGTGACTCATTCAAACCATACACACATCATCATATCAATCATATAATATCATTCATATCACAAAAGCATATACTTTACATGTAATATATATATATATCTTTATTTTTATCCCTTTGTTAGCCCATGTGCATCTGTGAGAACTGTAGATATGTGAGTCTATTGAGGTTGTGCACTATGCTGTCACCACAGCTCGTATGGGGTCCCACTAGGGGCTATAAATTTTGTCCCGAAGGACCTATGTACTGTATTTGTCCCGAAGGACCACTCCTTAAGAACCATATACATATTCCAATGGATCACATATGTGTCTCACAAGACCCTGTAAATGTTCCAAAGAATATATATATATCCCGAAGGACCACGTATCAACTCTTAGAATGCCAACTATACCTCTAGCTCTCTTTACACATAACATAGGCATTAGCAATCTATCATGTCACATATTCACATGTACACTTTCATATCACATGTCATATAAGCTCATAGCTTCTTTTCATATTCTCATAAGATTACATAGCTTATATCTTATACTTTGTTTTCTCATATTCACATATATCATGTCATATGACTCATATATATACATCACATAGCACATACTTCTCATATCATTACATTCAAAAGCATGTTAACACATATAATCATGCATACATACAATTTATGTCATGCATATACGTATAATCGTATATTCATGCATTCTAACATAGGAAATAGACTTGTCACAAGTCTTGTTTCCATTTAGCACCATAAACTAACTAATATGCACTCACCTTGGCCTCACTAAGTTCCAATCCATCTTTATAATTTCCTCTCTTGCCATTGAATCATAACTCGATAATCGTTCTGGGACTTGTTTGTGCTTGATATCTATATAATCATACATTGATACATATTAGTATCCAATTAATATACTCTAATCTATCATTTCTTAGACCAAAAGAAAGGCTTATTTCTATTTCCCCTTGAAGTGCATCGGTACATATTACAGTGCATCGATGCATTCTTTAACATGTGCATCGATGCACTACCCATGCATCGGTACACAATTTGCATTCGATGTTTAAATCTTAAGGGGTGCATTGATGCACTCCTTATGCATCGATGCACTAATGGCATTCGATGTTCATTTATTTGAGAGTGCATCGATACACCTTGAAGATGCATCGATGCACACTACCCAGAATTACATTTTAAGCATGAAAATGTCTTGTTTTAACCCCAAATTCTACTTATTAATCCCTCCTTATACCTTAAAACTTATCCATACATATTTAAACCTTCTTATAATACTATAACACTTCACCATATCTCATAATTCACCATAATTCTTGAATCAAAGAATTTCATCAAATTTTCCATGTGTTTTAAATTCAATTCTATCACCTCTAACTTCTTAATTAATCCTTTGACAAGTCAAATCCATCCTTAGAACTTCAAAAACCTCTTTATATCAAGAATTTATTTCTCAACCCTTAATCAAATTTCCTTTCAAATTTTCTCTGCTTGATGTTTTAAGCTTATATAAGCTTACCTTAAGCTTATATAATACCCAAATACTCCATCCCAACTTATAAATTCAAGATATTAATCAACTGAAGCAAACTTACCTTATAGACTTGAGCTTGAACCCACGAGAAGAAGAAAGCAAGAAGAAGAAAGAAAGTTTCCAGATATCTCTATTCCCACGTGTTATCTCCTTAAATAAGGGAGATAAAATATCTTTCAAGCTAAATTACCATAATACCCTTATAATCCTTTCATATTTACCCTTTAATCCAACACTGAAATATCCTTATTAAATCCTTAAACTTTTCAATTTTCCTAAATTGATCCCCAAATTTCAAAAAATTTCATTTTAGTCACTAACCCGGATTTGGGATGTTACAGAACTTCTCTTGTTTTTTTAATATTGATGATGATATTATTATAAAATAATTAGGGTAAACTACTCAAATGATTGTTTATCTATGGGGTTGGTGTCAATATGACCATCATACTTTTAATTTTGTCAATATGACCACATAACTATTTAATTCGTTTCGATCAAGCCACTTGTTAATATTTGAGAGAAGTGTTAATATAACAGTTAATAAAATTTGTATAATTATAAAATTGATCTTCAATACTTATATATTCTATTAATTTAGTCATAATTTTAATTTAATTCAAAAAATTAACCCTCCAATCAGAAGGTGTCATGTGTAAATTAATTATTGTGACACATTTAATTAAAAAAATTAACTCTCCTATTAATACTTACATATTATTATAACACTTGTCATCACCTATTTAAAACGGAAACAAGTAAGAGGATAATTTAGCTACTCGGGGAAATCGATAGGAAGACCTAAGTTGAGGGCGGACACACCTCAATAAGGATAAACCCAACATTTGTTATTAAATTATAAAAAAATATCTATTTTAAATTATATAAAAAAAAGAAAATAATAAATAAATTATATTTCATATATATATATATATTTATATTGTAGTTAATGCAATGTTGAAAAGTAAAAATGAGTTAATTTTTTTATATATAATTTTCAAATTATACTAGCCTTTTCCATTCAACGTACTAACCACTTCTACTGAAAAACATGAGATTTTTATCAAGATTATGAACACTTCTCTACTTCAAAGTTTTGATTGACGTTTTTGAACTAACAGGCATTTAAAATTCTGTGATGTAGGTTAACCAATTTTATTTAATCCAATCCAAAAGCTCATCCACCGGATAACATTAACCTAAACTTCTGTTTCTTGCAAGACTTAAACACTAGCAAACCATTGTACCTTCTGAAAATCACTTTCTTCGCTTGTTTTTGCAAATATTTTATCAGCAAAAAATGGGGGCGGCTGTTCTTCAAGAAAACATGCATTATTGACGATTTTAGAAGGAGATTTTGGCAAAGGGAGGGGTCCAGGATTTCGTGTATTTGTGTACCCATTGCCATGATCATGCCACGTTATCTCTTAATTTTGTAGCAAAAGTGGGGATTTGACCATGAAATTCAGGAAACTGACACGTGACTTTTACCTTCATAACTTATACCTAATTTTTTTTAGGTTAAAGTACACAAATGATCTTTCAACTATAGGTATTGTTTTGTTGGTCCTCACTATTAAAAGTTACAAAATGATCTTTAACTATAAAGAATTGTTTTGTTGAATCCATCTACTATCATATCCTATTTAATTTGCTACACAAAAAAAAATGAGGAGTTTGGAATATGTGAGTAGTTGTGTGACCATTTGCAACTTTTAACAGTCGAGGTACTCAACAGGGTAATGCCCTATAGTCGATAGATTATTTTGTAACTTTTAATAATCGATGCTCAACAAAACATTATTTTATAGTCAATGGACCATTTGTATTTTACCATTTTTTTAATAGCCCGAGTTGATTATAAAATAATATATGTTAAAAATCTTTCTTGGACCGTATCATCTTGCAAATGCAACTGCTTTAAACTGAAATATTTAGGGAGACTAACATTATCTTTTATCACGAAGGTGGCTTAATGAGATCTCATATTATGATAAGATTTGATGTATGGACTAGGTTCTCTCTGGTAATGTTTTGGTGTATGGACTAGTAGCCCAACCAACTCAAATAACCTTAGTTCAATCCCTAGAAGAAAACTCATGTCTTAAAAGGTGGTTAAATTTTTTTTTGTCTCTTGCTTTTGATGGAGTTTCTTCCATTGAAGGGAGTCTTGTCACTCACACTTAAGACTTTGTCAACAGTCTTTTGCTCAACTTTTTCCTATATAACTTCTAGTCCATAGCAAAAGAACATGCACAAACAAGTTGCATTGCAGCTTCTTAGTCTTGATACTTGTTCTCAGGTATGTTTTTTTAAGTAATTAGATTCTAAGCTAAACAGCAATTCTGTGATATCTTCCATGTATTCGACACATTTTTTAAGTGGTTCCGTTCCGTGTATGACTTGAGAACATCAGCTCCTTGTTTTTACTTGTGATTTAGGTTCGGTCTTACGACTTACGAGGGTGTTCGAATGGCTGGTGTTTGCAATGGTGCCACCGGATTTACAGTACACCAAGGGGAACCAACTCGGGTTGTTCCGGCGGAAGAGGCAGAGAAGGGTCTTTATTACCTTTCGAACCTTGACCAAAACATTGCAGTCATAATGCGAACCATTTACTTCTTTAAGTCAGAATCTAAAGGGAATGAAGATGCCGTGGAAGTGGTTAAAAATGGATTGTCAAAGATCCTTGTCCACCATTATCCACTTGCTGGGAGGTTAACAATCAGCTCTGAAGGGAAGCTCATAGTGGACTGCACCGGGGAGGGGGCGGTTTTCGTCGAGGCCGAAGCCGATTGCGAACTCGATGACATGGGGGACATATCAAAGACCGACCCTAACATTCTTGGGAAGCTGGTTTATGAAGTTCCTGGTGCTCAAAACTTGCTTCAGATACCTCTTTTGGTGATCCAGGTTTGGGGATTACTTGCCCTCTTTTGTTTGTTGTTCATCTTGCTTGTATCAAACAATTGCATCGTGTTTTCCAGGTGACTAAATTCAAGTGTGGAGGATTTTGTATTGGGATGAGCATGAACCACTGTATGTTAGATGGAATTGCAGCCATGGAATTTGTCAATGGATGGGGTGAAGTCACCAGAGGTTTGCCATTAAAGACCCCTCCAGTTTTAGACAGAACCATTCTGAAACCTCGAAATCCTCCTACGATCGAGTTCGAACACCATGAATTCGATGACATCAAAGACATATCAAAAACAAACAAGCTCTATGAAGAAGAAATGGTCTTCAAATCCTTCCTGTTCGACTGCGAAAAACTTGGACACCTCAAGGAACAAGCCATTGAAGATGGAGCTTTAACCAAATGCACCACATTCGAAGTCCTTGCAGCGTTTGTCTGGAGAGCTCGATGTAAAGCATTAAACCTGGTTCCTGAACAACAAACAAAGCTCCTCTTTGCTGTTGATGGAAGGCAAAGACTCATCCCTCAACTACCTCAAGGGTTTGCTGGCAATGGCATTGTTCTAGCATATTCAATATCAACTGCCGGTGAGTTGGTTGATAAACCTTTGTCATTTGCTGTGGGGTTGATCCAAGAGGCAGTCAAGTTGGCGAGTACTGACAGTTTCATGAGGTCAGCCATTGATTATTTTGAAGTGACAAGAGCTAGGCCATCTCTGGATGGGACTGTTCTCATTACAACTTGGTCCAAGTTGTCTTTTTACTCCATGGATTTTGGTTGGGGAGAACCCATTTCATCAGGGCCTGCTGCTTTGCCAGAAAAACCAGTTGTTCTTTTCCTTCCTCATCATGAACACAAGAGAAGCATTAATGTACTGCTGGGATTGCCTGTTTCAGGTATGAAAGCATTTGAAGGCCTAATGCAGATTTAAGTAAGGAAAAACATGTTTTATACAAAAGCTTTTTTCTTTTTGTTGAATCCTTTATGTCGGATTCATAGTTTAAGAAAATAAACCTGGAATCAGATATAGATTCTGAATTCTGAGTCTTATAATTTGCATAATATAATATGATGTTATGGTCATATGGTCTGTGTTTGTATTGTATGCTTTGTTTCAGTCGTGTAATTTCGTTATTGGAATAAGAAATAATCCTCATGAAGCCTTTCAAATGCTTCCTACTTTTTTTTTATTAATCTGGGTAAGTACAAGATAATATTTGTTCGAAGATAACTTTCAACCTTTTGACGTTGAATACTCACGCCTCTAGCATTTATGATGTCCGATCCTCAAAAAAAAAAATAACAGATATGGAAAATAAATGAATTCATTGACACGGACAATTTTGGTGTTTGTTTTTGTTAAAACTCATTTGGGTTTCTATGCATGAAGAATTTTTTTTTTTGAGAAAGTGTTTGTAGGGTGCAATTTGAGTAGTTGGTTTGATAAAAATATTACACTTAAAATAAAGGGTAAATTACATGTTTAGTATTTAAACTATTACTTTTGTTTCATTTGGTACTTAAATTTTAGTTTATATTTCATTTTAGTATCTGCCGTTAAAAACTTAACAAAATTATTGACGCATTATTTTTCAATGATGATATGACATTATCTTAAGGTATCATATCAACATCGCCGTTAAATTTTTAACAACATATATCGAAATAAAATCTAAATCAAACACTAGGTATGATTTAAAAAAATATTATATGAATAATGATTTGATGAGTTTGAGCACGTTTGCTTTTATTGATTTTAATTTGGTACATTAGATTTTGAGCAAAACAAATATTCGGATTATTACCACATTTTGAGTTCCAACGAGTCTATAAGTTTGACTATTAGGGTGATGTCAAACTATTTTGGGTAAATTATGCATTTAGTACTTATATTATTAATTTTGGCATGTTTTAATATTTAAACTTTTAATATTTTTTAAAATCATATCTAAAATTTAGTTTTTGTTTCATTTTAGTACTTCCGTTAAAAACTTAATGTTAAATTTAGGGGGAAAAAACTGAAAGTTTATGTACTAAAATGAACAAAAACTAATAGTTTAGGTACCAAGCGCGTTAAGTTTTTAATGATGGAGTACTAAAATAAAACAAAAGCTAAACGTTAGGTATGAATTTGACAAAATTAAAAGTTTTGTTACTAAAATGAACCAAAATTAATAGTTTAGGTACTAAATGCACAATGTACCCAAAACTTTTTGAGTAAACCATTATTTAGTCATTCACTTATTTTCGCGATTTCATTTTGATCATTTAAATATTTTTTAAATTATTTCTAACATTACGTTTTAATCTTCTATAATTACAAAATAAATGATGATATTGACATGTTATCATAAAGTAATATCATATCATCATTTAAAAAGATAAAAAAAATTACTACACTAGAATATGATCCTAATTTCAATTTAATTTAAAAATTAATTTTAATATTTTATTAATAAAATATGTATGTAAGATAAAATATATAATTATATCAAAAAAATAATTTTTTTGAATAATTTGTGGTGAGTATAAGGTATTATTTATTCAATCTCTCAATCATTTAACAATAAATACTTATAAATCTTACATATGTGGTACTTCAGTATGAGATCTCAAAGGATAATAATAATTTCTTAACCACTTAATTCACACATTATTCTTTTCTTTTAAAAGTTAACTAATTATAACTTAACTATTATTATTTAAATAATTAAAACCCTAGCATGTTTCTTGCCCCTGCAGTAGCCACCCCCTAATCCCAATCCCAGAAAACATCATTGGATCGACGATGATCCACCTGATCAAGGTAGGCTACTTTCTGGACAATAGAACCCCACCCCATCCCCTTTACCCCAGACTGAAAACTTGGTGAATAACAAAAGCAACGCACTGTCCTATATAGATTCCTTGATGAATGATTCAACTGCTAATCCAGAAAACTTTGAGGAAATTCTTGATGAAGAAGATATTGAGATTCAAGAGGGTGACGTCACTCGTTCGATTGTTGATGGTATTGTCTCAATTGACTTTTTCGAACGTATCCAAAGTCCAAACTCTAGCCGAGAAGAGCCTTGATCAAATGGTGGTTATCAAACTCCTTGGGAGACGAATAGGATATACTACTTTGAGATCAAAACTCAATGAAATATGGAAACCAAAACAGGCTATCAAATTGATGGATATCGGAAACGACTACTTCTTAGTCACTTTCCTTACCCATGACGACTACCTCCATGCTTTCGTAGACAGACCCTGGACAATTTCAAACACTACCTTACTGTATACCCGTGGACATAAGACTTCAGCACAACTCCTTTTCCAAGCACGGTGATGGCTTAGGTTAGAGTACTTGGTCTCCCTGTGATGTTATATAAAAAAGTCTGATCTCAGAAATTGGTGAGTTTATCGGACTCTCCCTTAAACTGGATTATCAAACTGAATGGGGCAGACGCGGAAGATTTGCTCGTATGGCAATTCGAATTGATCTCTTCAAGCCGCTGATATGTAAATTGCTGAGATTCCTCCCAACACTGATGTAACCTTTGGTTCTTGGATGGTGGCTACTCGTCGACCTCGTCGTATAGTAAAAACCGCTAATGGAAAGAAGCAACAAGTTGAGAAAATTGTGTTCAATGGTTCAAGAGTTAATCCTATCTTTGAAGAAGACAGTGGTCGAGACCATGAGCATGCAAACACATCTGATCACCTCAAACTCAACCTTCATAACCATCAAAAGAAACAACAACTAATCTTCATTCTCGACCGACCAATAAGGGCAAATGTAAAACCACCACCAAGCAAACTAAAGTAACTCTTCATTGTAAACCCATGACCCTCAAGATTTCAGATTTTCCCATATTATCACGTAACATGGAAAAAGCTAACAGTTCTAACTCGGGAATGTTGAGTCGAAGAGGGCCTTCACTTGACAAAGGAAAACGCACAACCATCGCTATGGATGAAAATGCTAATTCAAACGGCAAAATTTTCGAGATAATGTTCTCGAATTTTTTATTTAATGATATAACGTACTCCCAAGATTAATTGCTCAAATAGGGCGAATTGCACAGTGTTGGCCGTAGGTCGTCATGCCTTCCGGGCGACCAACGGCGTGGCAGCTCCCAGCATAGGTCGCCATGCCCTCCGGGCGACCTTGTAAGTCGCCATGCACGCTGGGCGACCTTGTCTTGCGTCCTGCTCCCTGCTGCATGCTCGCCTGCTCCCCACTGCATGAAGGCGACCTCTTCCGACGTGCATGGCGACCTCTTCCGACGTGCATGACGCATGCAAAGCTTCATCCTCTCACAACAGCTCGTAACAAAGCTTCATCCTCTCGCCACAGCTCGTATATAACACTTTTGTCGTGATTTCATTGCTACATGTATGAGGGAGACCGGGGTGAGGGAGGCAGAGCCACCTTTGTCGTGATTTCAGCAGAATCACGGAGGAGTTCGAGCCGCTTGCATGGCGACCTACAAGGTCGCACCGAGTGTATGGCGACCTATGATCTCGTTTGGCTTGCATGGCGACCAATCCATGCACTGTATAATTCACACCATTTGAACAATTATTTTTTGGACAGCATTATCACGTGAATTATTTTTTTTTCACAACAATATCTCGTGAGTTTTGCCAATCCAAACATCCCCATGGATACTACAAATGACCCGAATAAACCCCTGGAAGATCCCCCCGATGCAACAAATGACACCAGCATTAGTCATTTTGAAACTACCCCCCAACCACGGACCTCCAAATTCAAACAGGTGGCAATCCTGATACAACTAATCATGTCATAGGCAGTGAGGTTGCTGTAGCAATGCTTGAATGATGTATGTCTCTCTCCCCACTCATTTTATGGATTTTAAATTATTATGTTAGAATGTTCAGGGATATGGACACTCTCGCTTTCTTCTGGCTGTTAAACAATACCTAAAGGATCATAATCCTGATGTGGTAGTATTTGTTGAACCCTGAATTAGTTGTATAAAAACATATTCAGTTATTGCTTCTCTCGGCTTCCTAAATTCTCATCATATTGGATCTATCAATTTTCTCGGGTGGAATACAGGTTGCTTGTTATGATACTGTAATAGTCGACTTCCTCCTTCATCACTTTCAATTTCTACATTATCATATCTCTCTCAATTGAACAAACTCCTCTTTCTTGGCCACTGCAGTCTATGCTAGCCCTTCGGCTCTAGGTCAAAAGAACTTATGGCCCCACCTCAGAAGTCTTGCCTCTACAATTCACTCTCCTTGGATTATCTTTGGCGACTTCAACCCTACCCTCTTCCCCTCTGATCGAAAAAATTGTTCTATTTCGGCAAAACATGGAAAGCTTTCTAAAGACTCATTTTTTATTATTGTTTGCGAGATATGCACTACCAAGGCCCCGATTTTACGTGGTCAAGAGGGCTCTATCAAGTCCGTCTGGATTGATTCATATGCAATAGCTATTGGGATGAGAATTATGTTGAAGCTACTGTTCATCATCTTATACGTATGAGATCGTATAACGTTCTAATTCTTCTCCATTTAGGAAGTCCTCCTAAAGCTTCTGGCCCCAGTCCCTTTCATTATTTTATGGGATGATTATCACACGATGACTTCTCCAGAATGGTTGGCGACAATTGGAATAGTAATCTCAGCATGACTGAAACAATTTGTAATTTTACCAAGGCTGCATATACTTGGAATAAGTCATTGGCTACATTGGCAAAAAGAAACACATCATAATGGCGAGGCTTCGTGGTGTTCAAAAGGCCATTTGTATGAAATCATCGCACTTCCTCCATAGTCTTGAAGCTAGACTACTTATTGAGTTGGAACATCTCCTCGACCAAGAAGATTTTCTTTGGCGTCAAAAGTCTCGGTCTGACTGGATTTCTCAATGAGACCGCAATACTCGTTACTTTCACCGAAAAGCGATTTACCATAAGGAAAAAAAATAGAATC